GAGAGCTGGGTTTGGAAAACAAATAGAAACCAAAGGAAAGTAGATGACCAGAATCATAGCCAAGTTCTGATGACCTCAAAAAGAGCTGGATGACCCTGAAAACTGGATTTCAAGTACTTCTTTTACTACTTCAGATTCAAAGTGTGGTAGATTGTCCAAATGACCAAGTTTAAGTCTTGTGCCAGTGCTTGAGCTGTCCAGCATCAAAGACAGCAGGTGTATCTGACCTTGTTTCCACTGTAGAAAATGGGACCTTTTATTCTACCAAGGTTAACCAAACATTAAATGGATTTGATGACAGCACCAAATACAAAAACACATCAGATGTACTATAGTCCATCTTATCTTCCCAACATCTGCAAGCACAATTCTCCCCATATTTACACATTTAAAATGCATCTTTCTCACATAGTACTACTATCCCTCTTCAGTTTTAAGTCCAGGACCTCAGTGTGATGTCCTCTGATTCTGTAATAATCTCATCTCAACAGTTTGCAACTCATAGACTAAATTGTGACCTAACCACCACCCCCATACATATTAACAGCATAATAAGATAGGAAAGAAGCTGAGTATGGTGCTTTATGCCTGCAATCCCAGCATTTTGGGAGGCTGAGGTGAGAGGATGGCTTGAGCTAGGAATTCAAGATCAGCCTGGGCAACATAGCAGGACCCCATCTCTACAAAATAATTTAACTGAGCCTGATGGCATGCTCCTATAGTCCCAGCTACTTGGAAGGCTGAGGTGAGAGGATCACTTGAGTCCAGGAGTTCAAGGCTGCAATGAGCCACTGAACTACAGCCTGGGTGACAGGGATACCCCCAACTCAAATATGTGTAATACATAAGAAATAGAAAATTACATAAACATGCATGAGCCAGTGAGGAAGAAAATAAAATAGAGCAGTACTTTGCAAGTGTCCTTGGCAAGGATTACCTGGACTACTTTTATCAAGACCCTGTTACAGACCAACTGAATCAGAATTTTCAGGATAGTGTAAAGGCAGCGTCATGTTTTATGTCCCAGGCTTCTCTAATAACACATCACAAATACAGTTCTCAGTTCTGTCACCGGTCTTGAATATGGATGGTTATGACTCATCACCACTGCCACCTATTTTCTGTTTTCTTTGTGATAAACCAGCACCTCTGCTGATCAGATTTATTTATCCAGGGGATCTGAGGTGTGGGTGGTCTTGCCTATATATAGTTGTAATAGTCTTATATGTAACTTTTACCATTAAGCATGGTATTTTTTTAAATATTAAAACATGGTATTGTGAGGAGGTATTAAAGAAGATCCTCTGACTTCTGGTCATTCTCTTCTCCCTACACTCTCTTCTCCATGGTCATCAGGGCCAATCATTCCAGCTAGCACCATCACCACTTTCTCTAATCTTAACTAGAGGAATGAGGTCAAAATAGCCAGGTGGCAAGTCCAGCTAGACACAAAAATTGCTAATACAAACAGAACCTGGACACACAGAGACGGCTGGCAAGAGCATTGAAGAGTCTCAGCTTTTATCCTACTTACAAGATTACAGGCTAGGTTGCTGCAGTTTCATGGATACTGATAGGATACTCCCGGGTAAACGATAAAACAGCTTTATACAGCAAAATAGAAGCCAGAGTGTCAACATATTTACATCAGTTCCTATAGCCCAGTTCCCACACTGTGATGCAGAGGGCCAGATGATGCCTGTGCACATGGGGGGGCTGCATTCCAGGAAAAGAATCCAGGTTCAAGAATGAAGCAGTTTTTGAGCAAACAACAAAGGAGCTAGTCTTTTTTCCTCCAGGGAGAAGCAGTTAAATGGTAGTAATGTTGTGATTGCCTTGACCTACTTAAGTGCCTATGTGACTAGCTACAGAAACTGCTCAGTATCAGGAGATGGATAAGACTTGCAGTCAGGTACACTCAGTAATATACAGGCATGTTCAGGGACCGTGGCAGCTTGTCTCTTTTCTCCCACAATGGAAAGCAAAATATATTTTATATCATTGTATCACATGCAATAGTAAGATGTTAGCTCCTTTTCTACTCTGATCTCTGTTACTCTGTCAACAGAAGAGATATCACCAAATACTGTTAACTCATTTGGAACACATGACAAATCCTTCAGGGCAGTATCCCAAAGTGTATTTTCTCACCTGGTTCCAACACAACCTTCAATAAATCTGCCCATCGTTCCATAAAACCAGTCGCTCTTGGATGATGGAATACATAAGACTGAATCCTGCAGTCATTAGTCTCCTGCTTTACATCTTTCACAGCAGAATGAGTTCTTTGGTCCAGAAGCAATGTTGTATAGGATACTATATTAAATGCATGGAGTAGTGTGTAAAGGTATTCAATGAGTCCACAGAGGGAGTGAATAATAAGCATGAATCAGGAAAAGGAATCTAAATGCAGAATAATTGTCTGTTCCTATAAGAAGAAATTGCTACCTCCTTCATAATAGTAGGATTTCGCTGTAATCAGACTTGCCACCCAGGCCACAAAAAAGTACATATATCAGGGGATCAAGTTGGTCACTGCAGTTGGCAAATAGTGGTAGTAACCAATCAATCATTACAGAAGAAAGATGATGTTAAAAGTACATGTATGTCTCCATTCTTGCCACCATGGCTACCTTTTTACTGAGCTCACGGCTGCTGGGGGACAGGGAAGGAGGCTGAGTGATGTCCATAGAATGGGTCACTGTTGCAGCCCTTGTGTAATCCCCTTTTGAGAATGGCCTGGACCTAATGATAGGATACAGCAGAAGTGGCAGGATGGCACTCTCAAGATTACAGAAGGTCAGTGCTTCCATCTTCAATTGTCTTCCTTGCTCTTTGGTTCATTTGTCCCATGGAAAGCCAGCTGCCATGTTGCAAGATAGCCTTTGGAGAAGCCCACTTAACAACTGAGAAAATTTCCAGTCCAAAGTCCACAAGGAACCAAATCTTGCCAATAATCATGTGAATGAGCTTGGAAGCAGATCTTCTCTTAGTTGTGCATTTATATGAAACTGGGACTCCAGCCAACAGCTTGGCTGCAACCTCATTTAAGACCCAGAAACAAGTGTCACTCTGGCTTCTAGATTCCCGACCCACAAAAACTGTGAAAGAATAACAGTTTATCGTTTTAAGCCAATAAATTTGGAATAATTTGTGAGGCAGCGATAGATAACTAATAATAACCTTGTTCTGATTAAGAGCACTTCTGCAATGGGAGCCTTTTCTTTTTAACATTCAATAGGACCCAAATGTTTTTATGTTTTGAGGCCACTTTGAGAGGTTCTATTCAAAATGCCTATTCCAAAACTTTTATATTCCCAGTTCCTAGCCACTTGACAAACCAGCCACTGCCTATGAAATGATATCAATTTTTATCTCAAGCCATATCTCTTTTTAGGCAAAGCATACAAGATAAGCTAAATACTAGCCAGTCGCGGTGGCTCACATCATCTGTAATCCCAGCACTTTGGGAGGCCGAGATGGGTGGATCCCTTGAGACCAGGAGTTCAAAACTAGCCTGGCCAACATGGCAAAACCCCATGTATAAAAATAGAAAAATCAGCCAGGCATGTTGGCGTGTGCCTGTCAAAAAAATAAAATAAGCTAAGTTCTGCATGCTGGAAAGAATTTTTTTTCCCTCTGCTGTTCCTTGAGGGCCTCTGTTAAGAGGCGCTCTAAATATGAAAAGCAGTCAGTTGCCAGCTGGGCCAGTTTATTGAGCAAAGCCATCCTCCAACTTTGAATTTTTTCCTCAGTCAACTAGTCACAAGGAATTCATCATTAGACTAGATATAAGCTAAAAGTCAAAAGCATGACCTTAGGAGTATGAGCTCCCTGCAAATGAAAACTGTTTTGGTTTTTACTCTGGCTCAGTTCTGTGTATCCCACTTCTCTCTTTTTTCTTTTCTTTCTTTCTTTTTTTTTTTTTTTTTTTTTTTNACATGGAGTCTTGCTCTGTCTCCCAGGCTGGAGTGCAGTGGCATGATCTCTGCTCACTGAAATATCTGCCTCCCAGGTTCAAGCAATTTTTCTACCTCAGCCTCCCAAGTAGCACAGGTGCATGACACCACACCCAGATAATTTTTGTATTTTTACTAGAGACGGGGTTTCATCATGTTGGCCAGAATAGTCTCAAACTCCTGACCTCAGGTGATCCACCTGCCTCAGTCTCCAAAAGTGCTGGGATTATAGAAGTGAGCCACTGTGCCTGGCCCACTTTCTCTTCGTGAAAAGATCTCCTTATCCAGAAGAACCAGATAATTCTTAGTTCATGATGAGAAACTTTGATTGCATAGCCACCTTATGTCACATGGTCAAGACACAACCAAGGCCCAATAGCAAGCCAGAAACTTTTTTTTTTTTTAAAGAAAAGACAAAATTCCAGAATTCTGGGGGCCTTCACTGAGATTTTGTAAAGATTTCCACGACTTGCACAAAACATCCAGGTCTGCCACATCCACTCAACACTATTAGAGCTGTTGGAATGTAAGGGTCAAGTGGCAGAGCTCCTTGCAGTGGAGGCTGGCCTGGATGGGGAGAGCCTTCTCTTGATCTGCACCTTACTGAAAACTGTCGCCTTTCATATCATCTGGTTAGTCGGTCAGAACTGACGAGTTAGGAGCTGACTGAACAAAGGTTTAAAACACAAAACAGAGGGAGAACTAGGTAAAAGACGCATTTTACATGAGTGAGAGAGTAAAAGGTGCTCAGTCTTTGTACACTATAAAAGAAATCTTCCACGGGACCTTTCGGCTCAGACTGACAGGCATGAACGGAATTATTCCCTCATCTAACTTCAGCCACGACTTGGCGTTTTAACAAGCAGTTCCAGGTGGCTTGGGTCTTTCTTGGCGAAAGGGCCGAGCCCTGCCTCTCTCCTTTTCTGCTGGAGCCTGGGCCCAGAGAGCGGATTCCTAAAGCCGGCCACAGGGGCCCCGCCCACGGAGGCCCCGCCCCGCCCCTCCAGGCCCCGCCCCGCCATTTGCTCCGCCCCCTACTGCTTTGCGCCTGTGCAGAGTTTGGGGAGTCGGCGCCATGACCCCATCAAGGCTTCACGGGTTCCTTTGCCGAGTCTCGTCCACCGCGTGGAGAACTGCAAGTAAGCACCTTGCCCCGGGGCCACGGCCGCGGGCGGGGTCTTGAAGGTTCATGCGCGGAGAGAGGCGCCTCCCGCGGAGGAAGTCGAGTGTGTCCGGAAGGTTCGATGGCGCCAGGGGCTGTCCAGCTTCTTCCGCTCAGCCGACCACCCCGTGGCCTGGGCAGGTGCCTGCAGCGTCCCGGGTCTCCGGTGGGACTAGAGCGAGAAGATCGCTAAGGCTCTTCCAGCCCCGAGGTCCGCTTCCTGCCGGACACGCGGTGGCCCTGCAGGACCATAAACATTCCGGGTTGTTCTTTTGGGAGCTCGAAGGGCGTACCACACTTTAATGTCCCTGAGAAAAATGCAAAAGAAGGCGCTTTAGGAATGGGAGTCATTGATTTACTTATTTACATCCAAAAAAAAATTGTTTACATCATTATTAACAGGAATGCACGCTCCTGGTCCAGCCTCCAGCAGAAAAGGATTTGTGGCAGTTTACAGTTTTTAAAATGGGAAAAGTGCAAAAGTGAGTCAAAGGCAAATAAGTATAACGTAAATTAGATGAAGCCAGAATTGTTAGTACAGAAAAAGCATTCATGCTTTCAGTAAAACCAACATTTTTAAACCCATTTTTGTTGGAAATTTTTCTCAAGATACTACAGGTAGCAGCCCAGACTATGCTAAACATAATTTTAATTTATGACACATGGAGAAGTTATGTAAGTTGAAAACAATTATTGCCCTCATTGTAAATGGCACTGGATTTCCATGCAGTTTGTTTTCCTTTGTGCAATCATTTTCCCCAAATACAAACATTTTACTTAATTGTGTAAGTGTTAAATGGTCCAGAAATGAATAATGCAGAAAGTGAAATTCCCACATTATTCAAACCTCAAGGTAATAACGTTAAAATTTTGTAGGCTCTTTTAACATCCCCCTTTCACTAGTTTTAAACAATTATGAAGTATTCGATACATATATATATATACATACATACACACGTGTATATGTAAATATGTAGCACACAGGTAAGCCATGAAGCACAACCAGCATCTATGAACTCATTCTCCAATTTTAGAAATAGTCTCCATTGCCAAGGTCTCTATGTGCTGCTTCCTAACTGTGCAACTGTGTTTTTAGTCTTCATAGAAGTGGTGTCATATTGTTGACTTTTCTTTTTTCAGCTAACACTGTGCTTTGTGATTAATCCACATTGATAGATGAGGTTGTAGTTATTCATTAAATTCAACTGTGTGAACATATGATAACATTTTCCACTCCCTTCTCAAAGGACGTTTGGGTAATTCTAGAAACCCCAAGATTGGCTGCTACACATTCTTGTGTACCTTACTTGTGCATTAGTAGAAGGAGTGGAATTCCAGGCGTATGATATAGGTCTTTTGAATTTTACAATATGATGCCAAAGTGTAACCGCATTTTCTAAATCTATAGCAATTTTCACTTCTACCAACAGTATATTAGAGTTCCTGTTGCTCCACAAACTTGCCAAAACTTAGTTTTGTCTTAAGTTTTAATTTTTGGCTGCCTAGAGGGTGATGAAATGCTATTTCATTGTGATTTGGCTTTTCTGTGATCAAAGAAGGTAAAACATTTTTTCAAATAATAACTTATTGTGAAATATCTTTCTTTTTTTTTTTTTTTTTTTTTTTTTTTTTTTTTTTTTTTTTTTTTTTTTTTTTTTTTTTTTTTTTTTTTTTTTTGAGACAGAGTTTCATTCTTGATGTCCAGGCTGGAGTGCAATGACAAGATCTCAGCTTACTAAAACCTGTGCCTCCTGAGTTCAAATGATTCTCCTGCCTCAGCCTTTCGAGTAGCTGGGCTTACAGACACCTGCCGCCATGCCCAGCTAATTTTTTGTATTTTTAATAGAGACGAAATTTCGCCATGCCCTCAGGTGATCTACCCACCTCAGCCTCACAAAGTGCTGGGATTACAGGCTTGAGCCACTGTGCATGGCCTTTTTTCTTAACAGATTGTTTCTTATTTACATTCTTTACATGTATTTGTATACTAAACTTTTTTAGTTATGTTAAGTGTCAAATATCTCACTTTGTGGTTTGTTTCTGTCACTACAAGGCAGAATAGAATAATGGGCCTGCATGTGCAATCATGCAGCTTCAATATAAAAGATATTTTTTAATAAACAGATGTTTAAAAAAAACAGATATTGCTAATTTTATCTGTAAAATTTTGTCTTGATCCTTTTGTTTATTGCTACTGCTTGTGGTCTTGTCTAAGAAACCCTTCTCTACTCTAAAGTCATAGACATAGGCCCCTATATTTTCTTCTCAAAGGCCCCTTATAGTTTTGCTTTTCACATTTAAGCCTTTATTCTACCAGGAATTGATTTTTGTACATGGCGTGAGGCAGGAAACCAGTTTCTTTTTTTTTTTTTCATGTCAATCCCATGTCAAAACCTTGTCCCAGGTTCATGCATTTATACGACCTTTCCCCTACTGATATAATGCCAGCCATCATAAAACAAGTTTACTTATGTATATATGCATACGTTTATTTCTTGGCTCTTTTTTCAATTTCATTGACCTATTTGTCTGTTCCTGTGCTGATACTGCATGTCATGATAACCATAACCATAACTTTGTAATAAATCTTATAATTTTCTGACTGTTGCTTATATATAGAAACATGATGCTTAATGATTTTGTATCTAAATTACCTTATTAATTTAAATAATTTACTTGCAGATTTTGGGGAGTTTGCTACTCAGACATTCATGTTATCTACAAATAGTGACAGTCTAGTTTCTCCCTGTCTAATCCTTTTTTTTTGAGAAGGAGTCTTGCTCCATCACCCAGGCTGTAGTGCAGTGGCACAATCTTGGTTCACTACAACCTCCGCCTTCCAGGATCAAGTGATTCTCCTCCCTCAGCCTCCCCAGTACCTGGGATTACAGGTGTGTGCTGCCCTGCCTGGCTAATTTTTATATTTTTTGTAGAGTCAGGGTTTTGCTGTGTTAGCCAGGCTGATCTTGAACTCCTGGCCTCAAATGATCCACCCGCCTCAGCCTCTCAAAGGGGTGGGATTACAGGCTTGAGCCACCACCCCCCTCAGCCTCCCTGTATAATCACTATATCTTTTTCTTTCCTTGCTCAGATTTCCAACACCTTGTTGACTAGAAGTGATGACAGCAAGCATATTTATCTTGTTTGTGATTATAAAGGGAATGCATTTGTATTTTTTCATTAAGGTATGATATTGGAATCATTTAAATCTGCCACATTTTTTTTGGAAAGTCACCATCTCCTAATAACTTTTAAGGCATATTTTATAAATGAATCCTCAGGGAAGACTTGTAGCTATCTCCCAAATAACTCTGTTCTTTTAAACAAAAAAAATTACCTTCTTTTTGTTGTTGTTGTTGTTGGAACTCTTTATTTTGGATTTACATTTACTTACTGGATTTAATGATCCATAACTGGGGGTCTTCAGTCCAAGCCTTCTACACTCCCTTCGTGAAATAAAATTTCATGAAATATGAGGAAAAAAAGGTGTGATATTAGCTACAGTTATACCCTTTTCTGTTTAAGGAAGTCCCTTTCTACATAGGATTTTGGGATTTTTTTTAAATTTTGTTTATGTATTTGATTTTGGTTTTGTTTTTTGTTTTTTTGTTTTTGTTTTTGTTTTTGAGATGGAGTCTCCTCTGTCACCCAGGCTGGAGTGCAGTGTCGTTGATCTCAGCTCACTGCAAATTCCACCTCCCGGGTTCAAGTGATTCTCCTGCCTCAGCCTCCTGAGTAGCTGGGATTACAGGTGTGTGCCACCACGCCCAGCTAATTTTTGTATTTTTAATAGAGACGAGGTTTCACCATGTTGGTCAGGCTGGTCTTGAACTCCTGACCTCAAATGATCTGCCCATCTTGGTCTCCCAAAGTGTTGGGATTACAGGCGTGACCCCTGTGCCCAGCCTTGTATTTGTTTCTTAATGATGAGTAAATCTTGAAGTTTACTGAGTTGATTTTTCTCATCTTACTGGGGTGTTTATTTTTCTGCTTTCATCTGTCGAGGTGGTAAGTTACAGATTTTTCAGGTGGTAAATCACTGGCATTCCTAGAAAATATTCCAAAGAATTATGGTGATTATATTTTTAAATATAATGTTGTGTTTGTTGTGCTTATATTTTGTTTAGAAATTTGCTGTAATTTTCTTCTCTTATACACTGCAACCTCTACCTCCCAGGTTCAAGCGATTCTTCTGCCTCAGCCTCCCGAGCAGCTAGGACTATAGGTGCATACCACCACATCCGGATAATTTTTGTGTTTTTAGTAGAGACAGGGTTTCACCATATTGGCCAGGCTGGTCTCAAACTCCTGACCACATAATCCGCCCACCTCGGCCTCCCAAAGTCTGGGATTACGGGTGTGAGCCACCGCGCCCGGCCTTTCCTGGTTTTAAAATTAAGGTTATTCTAGCCTCATAAAATACATTGGGGATTCTACTCACCCTTCTCCTTTCTTTGTTAAATTTTGTTTAAGATTGTAATTATCTATTCCTCGAGGGTTTGTTACAACTCCCCTGCAAAACTAGACCTGCTCTTCTCTTTGAGGGAAGACTTTAAATTACTTGTTTAATTTCTATATAATTATTATACTTATCAGGTTTCCTCTTCTTAAGTCAGTTTTGGTAAGTTAACTTTTTCTTTTTTTGTTTGTTTGTTTGTTAAAAAATATGTACTCCTAAAACACAAACAAACAAACAAAAACACTTTGTAAATCAAATGAGTGTAACACTTCTTGATTTAAGG